CATTTTCATTTTCAATTTTTAGTTTTTTTGGGTTCTTTGAAAAAAAAAAAAATTTCTAAGGCTCAAGTGCAGAACAGAAAAAGCGATTCAGCTGCTGAGATAACGCTTCCCACATACGAAAAGTCAGACATAACATCTATCTTTCTGAAGGCGTGCCTCAAGGCCAAGCGCCCACTTCGCGACTACTCAAGATGGGCAGCATCGAGATCTCCCAGGGCGACGTCCCGCCTCCCGACACCATCGCCGTAGCACCCAGCTGGCAAGGACCCGGGCCAGCAGCCTATGACCTCCGCACCGACACCATCACGACCCCGACGCTCTCCATGCTGCAGGCCATCGCGCAGTCCTCCCTCGGCGACGACGTGTACCAAGAAGACGCCACGACGACGGCCTTCGAGGCCTCCATGGCGGCGCTGACCGGCAAGCCCGCCGCGATGCTCGCGCTGTCCGGAACGATGGGCAACCAGCTCGCGCTCCGCTCGCTGCTCACCCAGCCCCCGCACGCCATCCTGTGCCACCACCAGAGCCACATCCTCGTTGCCGAGGCCGGGGGCTGCGCGACCCTCAGCCAGGCGCACATGCAGGCGGTGCGACCGCGCCACGGCAGCGGCCTGTACCTCACGCTCGAGGACGTCGAGCGCGAGGCGGTGGTCAGCTCCAACATCCACGTGGCGCCGACCCGCGTCATCTCCCTCGAGGTCACGCTCGGGGGCTCCATCACGCCCCTGGCAGAGGTGCGGCGCATCGCCGCCTTCGCGCGCCGGCACGGCATCAAGATGCACCTCGACGGGGCCCGCATCTGGGAGGCCGTAGCCGCAGGCGCGGGCTCCCTGCCGGACTACCTGGAGTGCTTCGACACGGCGCAGATGTGCTTCTCCAAGGGGCTCGCGGCGCCGATGGGCAGCGTGATCGTCGGGCCCGCGGCGGTGCTGGACCACTGCCGCTGGGTGCGGAAGAGTATCGGCGGGGGGATCCGGCAGGCGGGGATCATCGCGGCGGCGGCGAGGGTGGCGGTCGAGGAGAACTTCCTCGCGGGTGCCGGGGCCAAGCTCCGGGAGACGCACCGCAAGGCCAAGATGGTGGAGCAGATGTGGACCCGGCGGGGCGGGACGCTCGTTCGGCCCGCGGAGACGAACATGGCCGTCCTGGACCTGGTGGAGAGCGGCATCGAGGTGGCGGATTTCGTGCGCGTCGGGGCGGAGGAGGGCCTCAAGTTGATGGGGGGCCGGATCGTGGTCCATCTGCAGGTGGTGGACGAGGCGTTCGCGCGGCTGGAGAGGGTGTTTGATCGGGTCATGGCTGCGAAGGGCAAGGACGTCGTTGCGCAGCAGTCGGTTTACGGGTATTGAAAAAAATGGGGGCGCGTTGGCAATGCAAAAAGTGTGCGCTGCTGCCCCTTCGACATTTGACAGTTGGGATCATCAGGTATTAGATTAGAATAGAGGTATCAGCCAAAAGCTAGCTTAGCATATCAGAAAATTTCGTCCGGAGAGGCGAATATCGTGGTCGTGGTAGAAGATTGGGTATGCTTGCAGGTTTAGCTTCAAAAAAAAAAAAAAAATTGAACGGTTGAGACTACTTTGCTCTATTATAGGACTTGCTACTCTCGCCGGACAGATCAGATCACAAATACAAATCTCGTTCGCAGAAGAGTAAGCCTATCAGCAAATCCACATGTCAAAACCTGAAAGGAAGAAGAAGGAAAAAGAAAAAGAAGAAAAAAACAGAAAGAAACGGGGAAAAATAAATTAGCAAGAAAAGTCAAAGATACTTGCCAATATAAAAAGACAGCCTTACATAGTCAATAAAAAAAAGCACTTATAAACCTCGACCCCCCTGCTATGCCATTTCTACCTGTTCAAATCCTCCATCTACTTTTTTCTTCCGCCCCCCCCCCCCAAAACCTTTTCATAATCTCCTGCCTTTCTTTCTTTCCATCTACGGCGAGGTGAGCGCGATCATCTTGTCGGCCATCTCGGGCAGGGTCTCGGCCATCACGTCCATCGTCTCGGTATCGAAGATCTCTGCGCAGGGATCCTGGTCGTAGATGGAGCAGTAGGCGCCTCGAAAGCTGGTGGGGAGCAGAGAGGGAGTGGTTAGCGGTGGTTTGGAAGGTGGAGAGGAGGAAGGGGAAGGGGAAGGGGAAAGGGAAAGGCAAAGGGGAGAAGGAAAAAGATCCCCTACCCAGCCTTCACCGCCGCCGACACATCCCACATATGCGCCGCCCCAAACCACTTCTCGTCCTCCTCCGCAAACAAGCCCAACACCGCCCGGTACGCGGCCAAACACGGCTTGTACAGCGCGCCCTGCCCCGTCCCCATCCTCTCGCCCAGCTCCGCACAACTCACGATCCTCTCCTCCTCCATCACCAACCCCCCCTTCTCAAAATACCCCTTCACCCTCCCCTTCTCCCCACTCGTCAAGCACCACACCAGCCAGCCCTCCCCCCGCAGCCGCTCCACCATCTCCCGGCACCCGTCCCGCAGCTCCAGCCCGTCCGTGTAGGCCCGCACGCACACGTCCCTCTCCTCGCGACTGGCGAAGGCGCCGGCGCGCACCGGGCCGGCGGGCACGCCGGCCATGACGAGGGTGCGGGCGAAGACGGCGGCGAGGACGCGCGGGTAGGGGAGGCCGCGCTCGGACTGCAGCAGGAGGTAGAACTCGAGCTCGGCGGCCTCTTTCCAGGTGTAGCCGAAGTGGGCGGGGGAGATGTTGTGGGCGAGGAGGCGGGGGCCGAGGGTGCGCGCGATTTGGGCGTAGAAGGCGGTGAAGGAGACGCAGGTGCCGACGACGTCGAGGACGAGGTGTTTCTTGGGGGCCATGGTGGTGGGAGAGGTCTGGTCTGGTGTGGTTCGTGTTCGTGTTCTCGTTCGCGTTCTTGCCAGTCGCTCGCTCGCTCGTTGCTACGCCGCAGAATTCCAGATCAGCTCAGCTCAGTTCAGTGCAGTTCAGTTCAGACATGTCAGTAAACCATTCCGACATCCTCCAGGCTCTGGGGGACTGAATACGTGACCGTGCCTACTGTAACAGTAACCCCCAAAAAACACCCTGCAAATAAAAGCCGACGACAGATCGATCAATCATCCAAAGGCGCCCAACCCCCTCTTAACAAGCATAAGCATACGCATCCGCATCCCATCTCCCCCCACTACTCTTCCAACCCTAATCCCACGTGATACCACCATACGTGCCGCATACGAACCAACGGCTCAATGCCCTCCTAGGTACAGTACCGGTACCGTATCGGACTTTGCTCGACGGGAAATCTCAGCACGGGGCTCTCCCGGCCTCTCGAGAAGCGATGTCGGGGTTCGGGCTTTGGCCTTTCGGCTTTAGTCCGGACTACGTAGAGGGGTACCGGTACCGGTACCTCTACCGGTAGCTCATCAATTACCTATCCACAACAGCTAGCTCATACATACATACCGTACCTACCTAGTCCGCGTAAATCTCCACCTTAACAGAGAACACCCCTACCTAGGTACCTAGGTCTACTATGTACAAGCACAAGCACACGACCTGCCACTTTCCCCATCGCAATCGTATAATGATCAATTTAAATACTATTGTCCTTCAACGGAATCTAGTCATCGAATAGAATAGAATAGAATAGAGTAAGTAAGTAAGTAAGCAAGTAAGTAGTAGCTGTGATACTTGGATTGGAAGTTGGATTGGATACGCATCGCATACAAGGGCGTCGATAAAAAAAAAAAAAAAAAAAAAATTAACCCCCCAGAAATCTAAAGTTCCGATTCAGAAATCTAAGTACGCGGACTACTTACTTACTTATGGAGGGCTCTAGTCTACGGTAGGTAGGTACCTAGATACGGTACGATAAAATGAGGTTGTTCCCGGCTTCGGGTACCTACGGTCGTACCTAGTACCACGCCGCGCAGACGTACCGGTAGCCTTGGCGCGCGCGCACGCAGGTCTGAAAGAAAGATCGTCACGATAGGTAGGTACCTAGGTACCTAAACCTACCGGTACCTACCTTTTTCGACGAGCAGACCCTCATTTAATCCAGTCCAGTCCAGTCCAGTCCCTTCTCTTCTCTTCCGCCCCCATTCATCGTCGTCGAGATGGCGAGCCGGGAAAAAAAAAGAAAAAAAAAAAAAACCTCACTCGAAACGTCCCATCACCGCGTCCCCGATCCGCTGAGCGGACCGGCTCGCGCGATGGCTCGGCCCGCGGCGAGGGAGAGGGAGAGGAAGAGGGAGGGAAAGAGGGAGAGGGAGACAAAGAAGCCGATGCCGGCGCCGCTAGCACCAGCCGCCAGAGCGACCATCTCGTCTGGATACCTACCGGTATGTCACCGACGGCAGACCTAGCCGGAGCGCCTCGTCCCTCAGCGAACCATGCCCCCCCTCGGCTTCGAGACCGGCGCCGGGCCTGACCTGTCCGCCGAGGCGTGGACTGCGGGTCTCCCCATCGTGGCGTGGATGGATGGACGTGTGGGAGGCACGCACGCTGCTGGGACGGTTTTTCGCGATGCTCGAGTTTAGAGAAATAGGGAAGGGGGGGGGGGGGGGTGGGCGAGTGTGGAAGTTGGAGATGAACCTGGCTCTCTTATACTGTAACAAGCAGAGCACCCCCGGTGCACCTCGAGGCTCAGAGCAGAACGCCCGTAGCGATCGATGCATCTTCATCTTCCGGCTTCTACAGATGCGTATCGTAAGAGCCGCATTATGTCCCGCGCAGCATGGCAGATATTAGCGTCATCTCGAAGAGAGGTTAGCGGCAGACCACCCATCGTGCGTCGTTGGGTCTGCAACGGATAGGTAGATAGGTAAGGGAGCAGAAAGATGGGACGCGGCTCCCGTAGTACCGCAAAACAGCTGTCGGAATAGAGTTGGGGCTTCCTGCAGAGCTGCGAGTGGCGCGAAGCTTGCCAGTACCGGTATGCAGTTGCACGTCGGCTTAAGCGAGGGTGGACCCTGATACTGTAGTACCGGAGCGGGTCATTTCTTTGACAGGTATGGATCGGATCGTCCGCCTACCCCGGGGAAGAATTCGAGAAAGAATCCGAGAAAGGACTCGAGAACGAATTCGAGAAAGGATTCAAGCAAGAAAACAGGCCATACTTCAAAAGTCCAAAAGAGCTGTCTGCAGGGAGTGACAACGGGGCCTGATTGGTCAACAGAGCGACGAAATTGACGAGTAAACAAATGGTACCTATTAGTCGAGGATGACGCTATGTGTCACGTTCAAGAACAATATGTCACGAATCAACCGACAACGCCTACCCGCTCGCTCCAATCCTAACGCCACCAACGCCGCCCAACACAAGCACGCTCCCCGCTCAGTTCAAAATCAATCCCCCATCATCCGGCCCCGCGAGCGACCTCTCAATCCTCTCCCTCGTCGTCTGGAACAACCTCGGAATCCCCGTATCCTCAAACCCACACCTCTCCGTCATCATCTTCGCGATCCCCTTCGCCGCCAGCCAGATCACCGGCATCCCATGCCCATTGAACCCCGCCAACACAAACTGGTTCTCCTCAAATGGCTCCCCGCTCCCCCAATGCCACGGCCGTCGCAGCCACCCTGCCCCCTCCTGATCCCTCTTGGGGAGCCGGCCGATGTGAGGATTGCCGTCGAAGCTGTACCCCATGACGCCCGACCAGATACTATCGACCCTCGCACCCGTGTCTTCCCAGCCGTGGAAGAGGCGCTGCATGTAGGTGTCGAAGTGGTCTTTCCCTGGCAGGAGCGTGCTGTCGTCCACGTTGTTGTACCACTGGTCGAGGAAGGGTCTGAACTTCGTACCCGCACCCCCGACGACGATGCTCCCGTCGATCTTGGGGGTGAGGTAGGACAGGGTGAGATCCTCTTCGCGGATGATGTAGGAGTTGGTGAGGAGAGGGGCACGTTTGCCAGCGGGGAGGCTGATGTGCGAGCAGATGCCTTTGCAGGGGACGATGGCTTTGTGGTAGTCGGGGAGCAGGCCGGCAATGTATCCGTTGTTCGAGTACACTACCTGTTTGGCGTGGGTGGTTCCGCGGGCAGTGGTGATGACAAAGCCGCCGTTGGGGTCGGGCGTAACTTTCGTGACGGGGGTGTGAGTTTGAATATTGACTGCCTCTTGCTCGACGAGAATCTTGGCGAGTCCGAGGATGAATTTGTAGGGGGTCATGGTTCCTGCGGTGTAGGTGGCACAGGCTTTGGCTCCTTTGATACCGGAGATGTTCTCGGCATCTTTGGGCTTGGTGAAGAAGACGTCGTCCATATACTTCAGATTGTGCTTCATCATGAGGTCGTACGTCTGCCTCGCCTTGGTAGCAGCGGCTTGATTGATCCACACATCCACCGTCCGCGTGATGGTGAAGTCGCAGTCAATATTCTCCGTCTCGATGACTTTCTTGATCGCATTCAGGTGAGCAATTTCAAACTCGGCAATCTCCACTCCGGCTTGCAGCCCATCTCGCTCGATGTAGGTGGGGATGTGGCCGTACAGATCGGGTCTTAGATGGCCACCATTTCTCCCCGTCGCGCCGGAGCAGACGCCTCGCGCCTCGAGGATCGTGACTGAGAGATTGTTCTTCTTCTCGCCTTTCTTCAGATGATACGCGGCGGCGACACCGGCGTACCCGGCTCCGATAATCACTACATCGCTCCACGGCGGGAGGCTTGGGGTTGTTTGTGTGTCATGGAGTTCATGAGGTTCCTCGTGCCAGAAAGACGGCGTCGCATCCTCCACGGGTCGATAATCCGCAAGCGGGGTCGTCAAGGGCTTCGTATCAGAAGACATCGACATGGTGGTAGAAGGATGCGAGGGGAAACGAAAGGGACGTTGGTAACGAATGGCAAGCACACGCCGAATAGCAATGATCATCAACTCGGCAGGGGAGGAGGGGGAGGAGGGGAAGGAGGGAGAAATGGAAGAGTAGGAGGAGTAGAAAGAGATGGAAGAGTTGGAAGAGATGGACGAGTAGGAGGAGGAGGAAGATTAAGAAGAGATGGAGGAGTAGGAAGATTAAGAAGAGTAGGAAGAAAGAAGGAAGAGGAAGAGGAAGAGGAAGAGGAAGAGTAGGAAGAGGCGCAAGCAGTGAAAGCCAGATGGAACGAATGAAAGGAAAGGAGCAATGACAGCATGGATCAAGAAAGCCGCCCAACATGGCGGAACCGAGCGACGTCGTCGGCTCAGGAACCAGACCCTGAGGTCCCCACACCGCACGCCACGTTCGCCGTGGTAAGTAGTACGTAGTACGTTGGTACGGAGTAAGTGTCCTCTTCCTGATCCGGAACGAGATGCGGGCAAGACATTTCCCATCTGGTGCGGGACTCCGGAACGCTAATCTAATCAGATCGCATCTGATAGGTGCCAGGCGGTGTATGAAGAAGACCTTACCGGACCCGGAGTGGCTCGGAGTAGCTCGGAGTAGCTCGGATCCCCAAGCCCTATGCCCATGCCCATGCCCATGCCCATCCCCTTCCCCATCCATACCCACATCCACACCCACATGCACACCCACCCAACAAGCTTTGGAGCTCCGAGACCCATTCATCTGCCTCTGAAGCGAGCTCCGAATCGACGCCGTCCCCGCCCGGTTCTACTCCGAGACCCACACCGACGTTTCAACATTCATCGCTCCTCGGCAATGCCTTCCTCGGGAATGCCGAGAGTTTGGCGATGCTTATCTGACAGCAGTTGTTGGTTCGGTGACTTTATGCCCATCAAGGTGTGCAACGTTGGCAGTCTTGTCTTGACCCGAGCCGATTCATTTTCACCGCTCGATCACGCTCAATCACGGCATATTCTTAAAAATCGGGTCTGGACCCTGCCTCTCCGAAGATCGGAAGAGCGAGCGGACGCATATTGTACTTAACTTACTCACTCGGACTTGGAAGGTCTTGTTGACTCAGTTCCAACCAGTCCCCCTGCGTCCAATCGACCGTGTTCAACCAGTCCAGATCATCCAGGGCCATGAGCGCCGGGTCAAACTGATCCTCTACGTCAAATTCCGTTCCCGCCAGTGCATCGCTGTCCTGCAAAGGGGGAAGGTGGAACTGATGATGATCATCACCAGCCGCGACATTCGGCAGATGTCCCGTCACCGGCGGCTCCCGCGATGATTGCTGCTGTGGACCCCCCGGTGGTACTGGAGGCGGAGGCGGAGGCCGAGGTGCATCAATCGCCGTGTCGATGATTCGCTTGACGACCTTCTTGAACTTCCCGCAGAGCTGGACGTTGTTGTCCGTGGGCCGGATCCAGTTCAGGAAGGCGATGAACATGGTGAGTGCCTGCACCACTTCGGAGCGCGACAGCTGGACGGGCGTGGGTGAGGGCATTGTTTCCGTGGGTGCCATGGGAGGGGCGAGGTTGCTGGCTCGGAGGAGCTCGAGACAAAGGATACCCGCACATGGGATTCCATATGAGAGGATCTAGTTTGGTTTCGACAATTAGTGGACGGAAAATCTGGGCCCTGGCCTCGGGAAGTCTGCTTACGATCCAATCAAATGCAAAGTTGAAGTCTCGGAGGTGCTCGCTATCCGACCAGAGAGACAACACGACGTGGATCATGTCGTACGCGATGTTGAATAGCTTCTGGCCGTTACAGTATCCCCGAGATACCAGCAAGCGCTGCAATAAAAACGCACACTGCAAAACGTCTAGCTGTATGCGAGTAATCAAATATATCTCATGAGGTGCTCTCTTGCGAGACTGAGAATGATCCGGGTGCTCTATCGTGTGGTAACGAATGTGCGGTGGGTAAGTGCCGACAATCTGTTCAAGCTGTGTAACCAGGGCACTGTACCACCGTCAGAAGCGAGACCCCATACAAATAAATACAAGGATGGTTTATACTCGACTTGTGCTTTGGTGTACTTGAGGCTCGCAGTGAGCGACAACCCCAAGATCTCTTCCCGGATGGGCGACAAGAGACTGACAGCTCGGAGCCAGGTGGTGGCGTAAATCTGATTGTCGGTATTCCAGCCATTGGCGTCCAGTCGCTTGACGGCTGCTTGAAATCTCTCGTCACCATTGTAGACATCCTCCTCGGAAAGGTCGAGCGGAAGAGGTATGTAGCAGAAGCGTTTGTCCAGTATCGGCGGTCTTCCATTGAACAGGCTCTCGCATTTGTCGAGGTGGAAGAAAGAGGACGAAATGATGCATCGATATTGTGATAGAGGTGTGAGTATCGGAGAGACCGGGAGGCGATGTAAGCCGGCGGTGATGAACGCAGCTCCAGTAGTGCCAAAATCCATTCTCAGATGGTCGCCTATGAGCGGCGCCAGTCAGCGCCGTGCCAGTAACAGGTATTTGGCTGGATTACTCACTCTCATCGCTGATGATATTGCTGCGCAACTTCGCACAGTTTTTCATCAGCACAATAATGATGTCGTTGATCTCCACGAAATCATCACAGAGCCTCAGACAGTTATTCGCACAAACCCTCATGTTCTCCGCAGCAGTCTTCCGATTTCTCCCCTGCTGCTCAGGAAACTCGAAAATGCGATCGCATTCCTGTTTGTGTCGGAAAATCATGCCGGCCCACGTGAAAAGGATTCCAATCATCTCCCAGCGAAGCCTTGGCCCTCCAAACCAGTTGTGCCAGCTCGTACCGTCCGTACCACGTGGGTCCGGGTTCGACAACGGCCGCTTGCCAGTCTCGAAGATGTCGTCCACCATCACCGACACGGATTCTCGCGATCGATTCGTCCCCAAGCATGCGCCGTACTCGGTCCAGACTTGATTGAGACACTGCCGGATCATGACAGGTGACTGCCACACGTCGTACATCTCCGGCACGTTCTGCATCAATGATTCGCACGTCCGCAAGGTAGGAAACTCCATCATAGTATTGATAGCCAGCTCTCGGCGGGCATTGCTATCATCGAGCCCGAGATGCGATAGATTTGATCCCGAGTGAGGTACTCGAGCACCCGGCTCCGCGGCTTCATCGAGAATTGCGGGACCAAAACTCGCATGGTTCTCCGAGAAAACCGCCGAATACCGCGTCGTTCCATACGGCATGCCTTCCCGCTGAAATAAGAAAGCTCGCTTGGATTGTTCGTACGCTGGCTCAGGTCCAGGTAGGGCCGGGGAGGCCGCATCAGAAGCTGAGGTTGGGGTTGATGTTGCGGTCGAGGTTGAGGTGCCGGACGATGTGACGGTGAATCTCTCTTGCCCGGTCGGAGTCATGATAGGACTCAATGGGGTTGGGTGGTGTTGGTGGTGGTGGTGGAGGTGGTGGTGGTGGTGATGTTCATTCTGGGTCCCGGACAGGGGGGCCGTGAAGCCATATTGTGACGGTGAGGACTCCTGGCTCAAGCCGCGGGCCTTGCTCATGGGATTTGGATGGTAGAAGCAATCCAATTGACGGGTCACGCATCGTGAACATCTCGGGCTCCCGTGATCACATCGAACTTTCGTCTTTCGACACGCTTCGCAGGCCTGGGGCTGGCCATTCCGCCGCACCCTTCCAGGAGGCATTCCGGGAAGCCTGGATGGAGCACGATCTTGATGAATTTGGGGATCAGTTGGTGGATGAGTTTGAGTTGGTGGTATACAGGCCGACAGTAGCAGAAGATGGGGCAGAGTCCATGGAATTATAACGTCTCAAGATAAATCACGTGGGGAAGGTATAGCTGAGATCTACAGGTGGAGAGAGAGAGCGAGAGAAATTTCTAATCAAGTGGGATGCGACTGCATCGACAACCCCCCTGCTAGCCTCGGCAGACCCAAGCCCCACAATAACTGGACTTAGTAAATGCTTGAACATATGTCTCGATATAAAAAGCCGTATCACTATTCAGTGCTTGTGTGTTTTGCTGGATACTGCTGTGTGGTTTTATTCTGCCGTCGATTCGATGACGGGGAAAAAAATATTGGGCTGTGGACGATCAGGGTCAGTCAACCCGCGTCCCAGCCAGGAAAACAATCAAATGGAGCCTTTCGCCTCAAAAATCTAATGTGTCCGGGTCTTTCCAGACAGCACAAGAATCGACGCGGAAGAAAAATATAGAGAGAGGAAACCGAGCCCCGATTGCTGTGCAACTTGCGCGGCGAATCGTGAGCCTGGTCCAGGAACCGAACGACCTAGCGACATACGCTGTTTTGGTTACACAGCTCCTAAGCGAGATCCAGTTAGTTGCACCAACAAAACAAACCCGGATGACTACCTCCCTTACTTGCCCTGACTTGGGCATTTCACCACCACCACCGCGAAGAAACAGCCGAACAAAGTCTTTCAACGCCTCTTCGTAGATTAGATCAGAAGCCGGATCGGATATCACATTACAGCAAGGAAATGGACCCGGCCACTCCCGCAAGCAGCACCGCCAACGCCAGATTCCTCCCCTCGGCCAGCCCACGCGCCGTGCCTTGCTTCGGCGTCGTCCCATTGCGACTCGCACTCCCCATCCCATCGACCGTCGTCTGGAACACGGGATCCACGCTCTGCGCGCTCGCCGCGCTCAAGGCCGTCACGCTCCCGTCGACGCAGAACTTGTTCGGATCCGTCCAGGTGGCGTCCACCGTCTTCTTCCACGTCATCTCGGGACTCATCAGCATCTTCGCCGTGAAGTAGATGCGGCAGTTCGCCGGCTCGTACAGGAACTGCAGGGGGACCTTGGAGTCCGTGGCGGCAAACGCGTTCTTGCCGTTGACCGCGCCCGGGTTCGCCGGGTTGCTGAGCCGGCGCAGGGCGTAGCCTTCGGCGAGGACGCCGAGCTCGCTGGATTTGAGCGCCGCCTGCTCGGACGAGGGCGCGAGGATGATGGATGCCGCAGCTGCCTGGGATATCTCGTTGAGGGGGAAGACCTGGGCGCCTTCTACTCCGGCGATGGACTGCATGGTGCCGGTATTGGGGCGGCCACCGACGACCGTGGTCTTGATGTTCATCTGGAGGATCATCAGGTACGAGAAGATTGTACAAGTCGATCCACAGGTTCCGTCCGTCAGAAGGACAACATTTTCCGGGGCGAAGACGGAAGCGAGTGGGTTCGATCGGGACCCGGTACCGGTAAGATTGAACGCGGCGCTGGTATCGTTTACTGGGTAACGAAAGAGTCAGCCATTGCCACATGTACCAATTTCGTAGGAAGGAATTTTATCATGTCCCAGGATCAGGGGGGGATAAAAAAGGCAGAGGACATGGTTCAGAGTTGTCTTACAAGGTGCTTGCTGATACGCCGTGAAGCGGTCCCCTTTGAGTGTAACAGGGGCGATGATCTCCTCCGTTGTAGTGAAGAGTTTTCCCGAAGGTGTGAATATGCCCCCCGGCTCAATGTTACTAGTGATGACACTATTTTGTAGAACGTTGAGGGCAGCACGCTCCAACGAAGTTTTGGCCGTGAAGTTGTTAGGGATGCTACCAGCCACTCTAGCCAAGCTAGCAACACTGTCGGCCAGTCTGATATTGTCTGCTTGAAATCTCTTGACTGTGGGGAAAAGCTGAATGGAGTCAGATGAACGAACGGCTTTGAAATTATAGAGAGAGATGCAAACCTGAGCAAAGAGCTCGTAGCCCGCGATCACGAAACCACCTCCGTTTGCCTGCAAATCAATGATGAGTTTCGTCTTGCCGGCTGCCTTTGATTTCTCCAAGAATGTTCCGACAGTCCTCTGAAAGTCGGATAGATAATCGATAGACCCAGCGTCGCCCTGGGGCGCGAACGCGGAAACAGCCAGAACAGCGACGTTGTCATAGCCTGTGCCGTTGAGGAAATACCCAGAGGTGGTGTTACCGCCATTGTCACGAACGCTAGAAGAAAGAGAAGTCAGCATGGCAGATCCACACTCGGCAGTTCACCACAGAGACATACATAGGAGCCGGATATCCTTGGATCGTTGGCAAAATTGCCGGTCTACTCATACTCGGAGTCGGTGCCATAGTCGGGGTCCCTGTACCATTTGTGTCTCGCCTCGGTGGCGTACAGAATCTGGTGTAGTAATCTTCCCCACTGTTTACTCCAGTGAAGTTCACCCCTTGACGGATCACCGCAAAGCTATCTTCCGTCTTCTCTTCTCCATTATCGTAGGTTAACGTGACACTCGGACCTTGAAACGCTATCGAAGCAGCAACAGTGAGGATTCCCTGAGGATTGGCGTACGATCTGAAAACCGAGTTCCACTGAGAGTCTGGGTCCTGGAAACTGCTGAATTCCAAATTTTGTTCCTCGATATATTTCGCTGCATCGACCCCGTTGATCTTCGTGATGGCCGGGGCGTTGGTCATTGTGCCATTCATGGCACCCAAAACAGCGCCTGGAATATCAGCCCACGCAGTCAAGAGGATCAAGATCAAGATCACTTACCAGCATGATACAGCTTAGGAACCGCTTTGCCATCAGTGGAGATTGAAACGATATCCGAAGACAAGTTGTTCCTGAAAACAAAAGCCTTGAACACATCAGGTCGGTATGAGAAATGACCGTCATGCGCCGTCGTGATCAGCTTGACCATGCTAAGCTGGAATTCGTACTCGCTCTTGAATTGCTGATTCGTAGCCGTCGTTGAGATGTTGTCCAAGCCACCCTCGATATCGGTCGCGGGCAGCATGTAAGAAGCGGGGGGGTCCTTCAAGAAAGCCAGCGTACTCTGCCATTGTACAAATGCCTTCAAGCTCTTCACGAGAGCTGCAGCGGGCTCGGGCTTGTTCGGTACGGACTGGAGGCAGTCGTAAGCCAATTGAGCTGACACAGTCGGAGTTGCTAAATTTCGAAGGTCAGCACCATCCTTCAGGCCCCATCATCATCTTTCAGGGTCTTTCCGAGTCTAGCAAGACACACCTCTTGAATTCTGCGCGATCTGGACTGAAGTCGAAGAAGCAATCCGAGCACACGCCTGAGCGTCATTCGTAGGGCCGGGTTGGGATGTACTCGAAGAAGTGGATGTGGAAGTACTCGAAGAAGTGGATGTAGAAGTACTCGAAGAAGTGGATGTAGAGGTACCAGAAGTCGAGTAGAATATGCTGGTTTCCTGAGGACTCGGCGATGCGTTAAGGACAGCAGCAAACAGCAACAAGCACCAGCTCATTCTCATGACTGCTCCAGATAGCGCAGCTATCCTAAATCCACCTAACTCCATGACTTACCCAAAGAATTAAAATATGAAAAATATGAATATTAAAATATGAAAATTTAAATCTGAAAATTTAAATATGAAAATTAAAATATGACAGCGAAGAAATTAAGGAAGATTCGAGAGCAACCAGTACGCATCGATCTTAATCCTCAACCATTTGCTGGGAGGTCTCATCTTTTAACAATTTCCCCAGACGGGATATCACAAGGATAAGTCCGAGGTGCTTCGGCCAAGGGAGGCCAAACGTCGGTAACATCAAAGAATAGAAAGAAGCCCTTGGCAGTGAGATCAAGCTTAGATCACGGCTGGGTTTCAGAGGGGTCGACCGGAGTTGGCGTTTTTGAAGTTACACCAACCGTTGCAGATCGACGGAGCATGACTTCGCCGCACGGATGCTGGGTGTAGCTCTCGAGAGGAGAGAGCTTCAAGACTCCACCACAATATCAGATAATACACCGCCACGCTTATGGGATTTTGCTACATAGAATCTGGTAACTTGGTGGCAAGCCTGCGCAGAATATCGGCTTATGGCGCAGATACTTCCTTGTTGTGCCGGTAAGAGGCCCGTGTTCTTGGGACAGCGCATGACTATAATCCGAACTCATGAAACTTCACCAAAACGAAAACAAAAATCATTAGTCTGGTGTAAATACACCATGGGCGACACAAACAAACTGACTCCACCAGAATGAAAACAAGAATCATTGGTTTGGGACACGTCCACCGTGAGCGACGAAACAATATGGGGTAGACTTATAAGCGAGTTCACCTGGAGGTTCAGAGCAACACAAGTATTTCCCTTAGGTTTGGGACTAAAATCGACACTAAGCACAATAAGTGAGTACTCACGTCAAGAAAGTACGAATTGCATTCTGATCTAGAAACTGTACTCTAAGGCTACCCTTGTGGCAGTTTCCCAGATAAGACCATGTGGTCAGAAGTGCTGACGCGACTCTCACAGCAGTGAAGACAATGAAATTTGAGTGCTCCGCTATAATGCTATCTGAAAAGACTAATAATGATGAATAACGAACAGAAAGCCCGCAAAAACAATTCAGAATTCTCTGCTAAGCTAGGCCGGTGTCTCGACAAAGTCCCTCGGCCACCAAAGCATACACATACACAGTTCAAGCCCACAAGCTCCGAAAGTGCAAAAACTGACATTAGATCCTGATTTTTTCGCTCGTTTTCAAAGTCTATCGGTCATCTCCACGTCTGCTGGTTCTTGCACACGCTGTTGGTTTGAACTCGAACCGACATTGCCACTTCCCTCTCCTTGGTTCAGTATCTCTCGGATTATGGCCATGTTTTCCATCTTGGATGTTGATAACGGGCTGTGTTATCTCCACATGCATGAATTCGTGACGCATACATGTCGGCTTTTTCTATCCTCTCTTTGAGCGTAGTTGGACCGTTAAAGCAGTTGACCCAGTTGATCAGAGCGTCCGTCGTGTTGTGCTTGGTGTTGAAACCCGTTCCACTGCAAGTGACAAAAATCATCTTGGCGCGAAGAAAGTATCGTTCCAGGAAAATCAGCAAGTTGAGTACTATGAATGGGTCGAGACTTACCAAAAGGTAGGTCCCGGCAATTAGTCGTGATATCAATATACAATTCCTCCAACACCGGGAACTTTGCGACGAGGCTCATAGGGAGCGGCGTAAGCACAACGTCCGATGCCAGATGGATTTTTTTGATCAATGATCTTTGAAGTGAATTCCGGCGACTGAGCCATGCCCTACAAGACTGAAAGTCGGTAATGGACCAGGTATTTGTGCCCCAAAGAATGCCCACAGCTTCTAGGTATGTTTGCCGGCAGACTGACAGGATCTCGACATGAACTCTGCTTCTAACACCGGTGGGGTAGACCTGGTGGCAATTATAATGTCGATTACAGCCCTGTGTCATGTCTCCGGGGCCTATCAACCTGTGGTCCTCCTTGCGTGCCAACTCATATGCCTCGCGTTCCGTCACCAGGGATGCGCAGACGGTGTGAAAGAATCCCAGATGAGGGACCTGAAGGCCCGCTCGAGGTCGTTCTTCCATGATGTGTATAAATTGAAAGCCAAGGACGTAACCCCAGATCATGGCACGAAGTTCAACAGGAAGTGAAAGTAACGGCCCTGAGGTAATGTTCTGGTTCAAACTTAAAGCAAATGAGATGTGTACTTGACTCGAGCGAAGACTCGGGAACCGCTTACATTCCTTGTGCCTTTAGATCTTTCCGAGTCGTGGATAGTTGCATGCGTGCCCTCTTGCGTGGTGGCTCCATCGCTGTAGACCGGAACCGCAACCCTAAACGAGACGAGAGAAGCGGTTCTCTTGATACCTAATGTCAGCACTGTAATATAGGAGCACAGAGAGCCCATCATGTTATGGAGCAAATTTTTGGACGACATACTTTCAACTCAAGTTGCGTAAGCAGAATTTGCGCGATGAGTGAGATCCACAGATGTGGAGAAAGATGTTTTGAATCCCTAACGATGCTGGGTATAAGAATGCGCTCAGTAAATGAAAAGCTGATGAATATGTGATGATGATAAACAGCGGCAGCAGACAAGAAGTGGTTGCAGATTGCCAGCGGGCCTTGGCCGGGTAGGAAGTTGGAAGGAATGCACCCTTAGTCTTCTTGCCAGGAAGGCTCAACCCCCCCTGATCTCAACAATTGTTTCGCCAAATGGTCCTTGAAATTCGTCAGCTTCTCAACGTATAACTTCAATGCCATCGCTTTTGGTGCATCGCTTCTTGTAAAACGATGTGCGTTCAGTGGTCGGTGAACCAGCTCAGGGAGACTCAACCGTCAAATTGAAGCTAGGCACAGCCTTTGAAAAGCGCTTGACTGAATTGCGCTCCGATAGTATTGGATTCATTTTCAAGATCTTCAATCTCGACTCCTTCGACACAAACCTATTGACCAGCCTCTTCTCTCCCGCATGCAACATCGAGATAGCAGCCCTCATATTACTCCATAACCCTTATATCTTCTTAGAGACTTGACTGGTGATTGTATGGCTTTCCTCCTTAAAGCCCGAGCCCGACAGCATATAGCAATAAGAAAGATACCAGGTCTTATACCGGATTAATTTCATGCCTCAATAAGTAGGAGCATTGTCATTTCTTTCGATTTCCTTTGCGCCATTACCATATAAACGTGCTAGAAGAGCTCCTCAAAAAAATCTCAGAAATAACAATAGGAAGAAAGCAACAGTAATAAATAGAATTATCGCTGCGATCATGCGATTATCTCGACCTTGGATTACGACCTTATTTTTGAAGAAGGTTTTTTTTTTTTGGCTTACCAGACGTCTTTTTGTGAGAATTTCACCGGCTGGAAAGATTTTCAAGTCCGAAAAGAAGAGATTATCGACAATATTTACTGGAAAAGCGACAGCAAGAATAAACTCGACAGCAATAGGATCATGGGCAAAGGAAAGAGGGCACGGATGCACCGTTCCTCTTGCTCTTCGGCTCCGTCGCGACTTGATCCGCATCACCATCATCCGCCTCGTCAAAATCCATCTCATCATCCTCCGCATCATCGCTGTCCTCTTGCGACTGAACTTGCCAGGGCTCGGGCTTACGCTTTCTCTTCTGGTGCGCCTCCGACACTTGGTTAGACATTGAAAGACCCAAATTGATTGCTATTCTGAGAACAGCAAGACTTGCACCTTCTAAGGCTCGAGATCAAAAACTTCATCAGCCGTCACCTTGTCCTTTTTCGGCCACTTTCATTTCTCAAATTTCAGTCCCAGATCAAACGCATACAGAAAGGGGAAGCTGGAGAACGCGAAGTATAATGATAAATGATACGATGTGATTCTAAACAGAAGAACTGCTCCATGATGTCATATTAGAAGAGAAAATTTCTCAAGTTGATTTTTTTTAGCTTATGCAGTTGGGGGCTTTGATACACTACTGCAGTTTGCATATGAATCGGTCAAGTTTCCCTATCATTTACGATCACCTCCCCACCCCTTGCCCTCCACCTGAACTAATTTGAGTATTGCCCATCTTCAAAATCCCAAGAACTCGGGCTGCTTGGAACCATTTGGAAAGCAAATATAAAAACAACGTCACCAAACTCTCGCTTAAATTAGACTTCGAAACGCCGCCCCAAAAAAAAGCACGATCCGATTCCCAAGGGCCAAGAACTTCGCTTGTAATATGCTTTATCTCATAGAAAATAATACAGAATATCAGAGACGTAAGTAAACAGATTCGGTGAGCCTCCATTGAGGCGGCCAATAGCCGTCTAAACGATATTCACTCTCTATCTGCGTGGGGGATGTAAAACAGGCCTACACTCCAAGGGCCCAAAGCAGCCGAGTTGTGCGGGGATGAATCAAGGAAGAGGATAAAAGAGCATGAATGGTGGCATTTTTACGAGACTTCCTTTTGGTAGAAATTTCCTTGAGGCTGGTAGCGTTCCAAAGCCGAGATCCATTTCTCAAGTGGGGCCACTTGGCCAGCTAGTCTAGTCACGGCCCTGATTTTGGGAGACATGAAATGCACTTCTTCTTTTGACGGTGAGGGCGCAAATGACAGTACTAATTTCTTATCGTATAGCAGCGCTAGGATATCAGCAAGTAGCGATGAAGGAGATGCCTCTCTCAGACGTAGCGAAGGGCTCCGACAGTGACCGTACGAAGAATGCTTGATTGAGCGTTGTTTTCGGGATGTATAGGTAGACGTCCTTGGTAATAGACTTGAAGACTCAAAAAAGGTTAGAGCCTTCAATTTTTATACGTATTACGTCATCTTGTTCCGCTTGGTAGCTATTTGCTTTCTGTCTTTAGAATCGGCATCTGCTATGGTTTGTGTGTCGGACTATCGTAAATGAGACTATAACAGGAGCGTTTTTATGATATTGTAAAGCTCTTCCAAGATGCAAGGAAAAGGATGGGGACCTGTTTGGCGCGAATGATCGATGCTTTATTCGAATAGAGTACAACATACCGAACACCGGAACTCAGCTTGCGGAACTGAATATCAAAGATCAGAGATCTGCTAGCTATACGCTTGAAGCTGAAACACACCTTCATTTAAATGTAAATCAAAAAACGCAAGATGGCAGCAGAAAGATAAATGATGGCGAAAAAAGAGCAGATCAAATATTTCAACTCACTATGTTGATACATAGTCAAAGAGGAATGGGTTAGTAGCGGTCCATTTTCTATATAAGCCCGCAGCGGCAACTTCACCGACCATTATTTGCTCCAAGTGTTTTCCGTCGGTGCTTACTACGCCGTCATAATTGTCATTCCATACTTCTCAAACTCAACAATATCTATATCCTGACTCCAAATCCCAGATAACTCAATACAGGTCTAGGGACTAGAATATTCCTAGTCCCGAAAAGGAGAATTAGCAAGGACATCAGCGAACTGGAAACCTACTATGCATCTTCCCAGAAAGGCATATAAGTACCCGCATAAGAGATCATCGAGAAAGCAAGTAAATCAGAACCCCTATCAGAGAAAAGAATGCATGTGCCGCGAAGATGCCCAAATTCTCACTCGCCTTTTCTTCCCCGCACTCGCAGTCCTGCAGCGATGGATCCAAGAATGAGACGGGATTAATGAAGCCTACGGTCTGCTTGCACATCCAGAATCTTGACAACAGATTGGAAGATGATGAGAAAAATCAACATGCAGGCAGATTGAAAAACAGGTATGATAAAGACAATTCATAGATTTGAGCACGTAATCTAACTCTTCCCTCTCTCAGAGTCCCAGAACAATAAGTGCACTATTCTTACAAACCGCGGCGCAACCCAGCGGCCCATACTAGCATCATAGACTCAGGATTTTTTTTTTTCTTGTGCCTCGAGAATTTGCGTCACGATCGATCCATATAAGCTCAAGTCACCCGACGGGATCATCTCCAGAACTAGCACGGAATACCGAACGAAGTTCAAACTTGAAGGCCAACTATTGAATTACCAGCTATATCTGCGTCGCTGGTATCATCCCCGCTCGTTCCAACACGAACAAACAGCGAATCAAGAAGACTGTGAAAAGCAGCGAAATCAGTGAAGAGCGGCGACAGTAAGACTATCAAGGGCTCTGTTTGGTACAGCACTGCAGGGCCCACTGCATAAGATCCTATAAGATATACCGTATCCTAAGAAAGCTACGAATGCGCCTATGACACACCTGTTACCAATCGAGGATTGTTTCAAGGTGGCTTACGACTCGCCCGAGTACACCAATATTGCCGGCGTCCGAATGCCCTCATAAGTAAGAAGAAGAAAAAAAGAGGGAGAGGGATTTTACCGCACTAGATATTCATAGCTTTTGCACGCACCTTCTTGAAGGAAATCAAAGTAGAGCAGTCGACGAGTTGATTGGCAACACCAACAACAACAACAACAACAGCATTTGCTTCCTTTCTATTGTCGTCGAAAACCACGCATTTTCTATCAATGGATACATGGCAACAACATCAATCACAGCAGCAAGACTTCCATCTCTCTCCCTTTCTCGACAATTAAAAACCCCCTCCCCATCAAAAACCCCCAGATGATATTGACCTCCAAAATCTCCTTTGCCACTAACCAACCAAGCGAAACCCTCACCCCCCTTCCCCACCTTCTCGATCCTCAGACGACGCCCTAGAAAAAGAATTCGCACCCCTCTCTAAGATCCTCCTACATTCTTCGACTGCCGTCATTACTGCTTCACAGCTCACGCAATACCGAGAAGCAACGAACGAGCCACAAGAGCGAACACGTTTACATGCAAGAAGGAGATGGGATAGCTAATGGCTAGTACGTAGAAAACAGCCAGCCACTCCCTTAACCGTACCTACAAGGTAGGTAACTGGTCAATTCCAGGTGTGGCATTGGATACCAAGCTGGCTTAGTATAGTAGGAGTCGACCGTGTGAAAGAAAGCTGAAGGATGTACATATACACACACACACAGACACACACACATATATATACACATATATAATCTCTCTCAACCAGAGCCGCCGCTCTACACTCTCCAACGAGTCCGATTCAGTGTGCAAAGAAAACCCGCTAGCGATATCTTACCTACGGAAAACCAGCAGCCTATATACACGCTACAAAATAGATGAAAACACCATGAGAACAGGAACAGAGAGAGAGAGACGAGGCGATGAAGAGACCCTTGAAAGAGAAAATCCAGACTTTCAATGTATAGGTAAAGGAATGCGCATCATTATCATCGACATCGCTAGCTGAGAATCTCGGTGATCCATCCCATCCCGTCCCATCCCAGCCCATCCTTCCCCATAATCTATCCATCAGAAGAATCAACGCCCTGAGAATGCAAATGCATGCATACATGCATGTAAAAGAAAGCCTGCCCGTCATTATCATTATCCCGTTATCCCATTATCCCATAACCCGCGTCTGGTATCTTACTCATCCCCGAGCACCGATGCAGCCATTAATGGCCATCATGGGCCGTCATCCACTGCGACTCCTCCGCCATAGGCCTGGGCCAGATACCATATCTCTTTGGTAGGTAGGTGCATCGAGGCTTTCCCATCAGATCAGCATTGTAGGATGCGCTCCCTCTCTACCAATCAGCAGCCCATCCGTTTTCCTCCAGAAACTCCTCGCACGCAAGCCGCAACGCCAGATTCGGCCTCAGATCCTCCACTCGGAGCGGCTCCCTCGTCAGCGGGTCGGTTGACGAGCGCCGGAGGTGTTCCATTATGCTGGACCGGTCGTACGATTGCCCGGTTTTGGTCTACCGTTTCCCTTTAGCCGCAGTCCTCCACTGGTATAGAGGTACCAGATGAAGAGAAAAAGGAGAGGGTATGGAGGGGGGAACTTACCACGACCGGGTCCACCATGACGGCAAACGTGATATTATCCACGCACCAATCCGGTACTGTCCTCCTCCGACTCTCCCCTTCCTTCCCGGCTTTCTCCCACACCTGGCGCACTTCCTCTTTCTTTGCCTCCCATTTCTTCTCTATCTCCGTACGCCTCTCCCCTCTATCGATCCCTTCCGCACTACTATCAAACTTCGAATCCAACCTCTCCACACCCTCTGCTCTGCCCCCTTCCAACCCCTCCAACTCCGCCCTCATCTCTCTATCCAACCCCCTCAAGACATCCCCTAACAACCCCTCCCTCTCCCTCTCCTTCTCCCGCTCCCGCATAGCCCACGCCTCCCCCTTACACCGTAGCACCAACTCCGTAATGACGCCCAGGCTGCTTCCGCCCTTACCCCCTGTCTGCAATTCCTCAACGCAGTACTTGTGCGCCAGCTTCGCGCTTTCCAGCGCCGGGATCGGGTTATGGAGCTCGATTTGCGCCTGCGCAAGTTGAAAGTGCGCTTTCATACTATGCGGTGAGAGGGCAATGGAGTGCATGGAGTTGGCGACCACGGCCGGGTAGTTGAGCAGCTTCAGGAGCGCGGTGGAGCGGTTGGTATAGAGAAGGGGGTTTTGGACGTCGTGCCGGATGCTGCGGCAGGAAAGGAGATCAGCTTTGCATTGGAGCGTAGAGCCAGAGGCAGAGGCAGAGGCAAAGGGACACAGTGAGATGGGAGGAGGAGGAAGAAGGGCGAAAGCACATACGCTTTCTCATAATAGGCCTCCGCGGCTACGTAATCCCCGGCTTGGAAGCATTTATTGCCCATCTCTTTGTACTCAAGCGCTTTCGCCGGGTCGTGGTTCGTCATCTTGGCCCAGCTTTCTTCCTTCCGTGCCTTTCCTTCCTTCCTTCCTTCCTTCCTTTCGTTTCTCGAGATGAATTATCCAAGGTCCTAGGTCTCGAAACCGATAAAGAGGAAGCGGAAATCGAAACCAGATTTACAATTGATGATCCTCTCCCTTCTGTCCTGCGCCTTGTCCCTTCCCGGTTTGTGATTGCAGTTCGGCTTTGCAGTCGATGTAAATGGTGGTTTGCTAGGAGGGCAAGTGAGCCGAGTATCCAATATACATGCGGAGCAAGCAGACAAAGACAGACGACAAGAAGATGAAAGATAGAAGGCAAAACATTGAAGGCAGAAGAAGGAAAAAGATGAGTCAAGTTTTAGATGAGCTGCCCGGAACAAAGTTAGTCCCCTACCTACCTAGGTAGATATTTACCTATCTCTTTGTTGTCGCAAGAGGGGTGGATTGCAGGTAGGGCTCAGCCTCGTCTGTTCGTTCGTTCGTTCGTATGAGCGTAAACTGGATGTAAGATATGAATGTTTTAGAATTGACTTATAATCTGAGAAAGCCTTTCAGAGGAGGAAGCATATGACGGAGAGATCTTCAAGTTTCAAGAGACGTGATTTTATGAGGGAAGAAGGTGAGTTGTCACGCAGCCGTGAACATCCGGCGGCCGGGCAGTCAGCCTCGTTATCGCCAAGGATGGAGCGTTTAGAAGATTCTCGAAGTGAGGATGATTACTCTCGTGACTGTCATCTTGGTGCTAATATTACAGAGTATGTTTGTTTGATAATTTGATGGTGCGGAAAGAGAGAGTTTTGAAAGATGTCTATAGCGTGCGGTTCTTTTGTACAGTGTATCTTACTTGCATCTCCTCTTCTCCACACTTCGCTCCAACCTTTCTGCCCTGTCCCAACCCAGTCGGTGCATGGCAATTAGAAGGGCTGTTGATATTTGTCAGCTTAAGTTCGAGAAGGAGGACTTTAGTCAAATCTGTTGGGCTTGAGGTTTGGGTCTCGGCTATGCCTTGTTGTCTGCTGCCGTCGAAGAGGGATGAGTGTTCGCCGCAATTGTAGCTTCCGTGTACCATTAGGGTCGAGTATTCGTGGATAGGGATGAAGTCAAGCAGATTCAACTATCCTTATGATCCTGACAGATCCATACTGATTCAGGGCCTTTGGAAAGAATTGCGACACTTGTAGCTTCCACGACCTATAGCCGGTTTCCACTTTACATCCAGTCCAGCTATCATGCAAGAGCTGACTCGAAGAAAAGATAAACCTACGTTATCAGAAGGCGGAATTTCCTTAACAAAGTGTGGTCCGATAATCGGAACTTTCTGCTTCATATCAGCTTGTCTGTTTCTTCTTCCTTCCCCTTTCCTTTCTCTCCGGGGGTAAAACGTACCACCATAATATCATTCCGCACCTTGGGAATCTCAGCAAAGAAAAACACAGCAAAGACACCTGCGACACCACCAAAAGCTCCGAGTGTCATGCCTCTGTTGTTTCATCAGCTCATGTTCTCTTCCGAGGTTCAGTTGCGTCGACAGATGGTATTGCATAGCGTGAGGTAACTGCAAAGAGGTATTGGGAGTAGCCGGGGGTACTTGACGTACAGTCTCGTAGCATGCTTCATCGTCCACCCATTAATGTTCGGGTTCGTCTTGTATCTGCGGGTCAAATCAGCCTCGTCTCTTTTGATCCCTCTTCCTATCCATCTCTGTATCTCCTCCGTCTCTTTAACGTCTTTCCCCACTTCCATCCCTCAGATTGGCACCAAAAGTCGTCTGGAATGGAAACGTGAGCGTACTTAGGACCGTAAGGACTCTTGTAAGTCTTGTAGCCGGGGGCCATCTTTGGCGGCGTGATGCCGGTGCTAGGGTGAAACTGCGCGCAAGAATATCAGCAGGTCGCGAGCGAGAGTGGTGGAAGGTAGAGGGTGTACATACTTCGCCAGACATATTGTTTGGAGGTTGTAGGAAGCCGGTGGGTGGCGCAATTGCGGTTGCGATTTTGCTGGAGAGGTGGTGATGAGGGAAGTGGAAGGCTCGGGTAATCTCGGCCCGGTGAGGACTTGTAGAGTCACGTGGCATAAAAACCGATTGAAGGCATCTGTCACGTTTCTCTTGCAGGAGGAGCACCTTCATAGCCGCATGTTTTCTTTGCAGGACACAACCATCCCAGAGCCGAGAGACCTATATTTGTCCCTCATCAATCAACCAAACTCTCTCCTTTGGATAGCCTCAATCGATTCCATGCTTCCACCGTGAAATCTGTCTGCTTTATTCATAAAGACTTAATTTAAACAGAGGATAATCACAAGTCCACTCTCATACAAATGATCCATCGAGCAGCCAGCTCACGCTTCCTTCCATCGGCTTCCCAACAAAGAGCTCTTGAATCTTCCGTTCTCTTCACATTGACTGACCTCGCCGCACTATAATATATTCTGTCGTCTTGCAATATTGCCCCCTTCCTCCTCTTTGCTTTCATTCCCAATTCCATTCGCAATCATCACTCGCTCTGGATTCGCTGAGTGATATCTTCCTCCTCATTGGCTATTCCCCCTTCCCTTCCTCCGGTCCACCATCCTGGCGCATAATCATATCGGCCGAGGCCGAGATCTCCGATTCCCCGGTCCCGACCTGAACCGACATCATCAGAGAACCCCATCCCATCTCACCCCTCCTGGCAGCTGGACCGTGGAATAAATATACTTCACTTCTTACTTTTCAACCCAGTCGCGGTTACTTTCGCCAAAGAACCGATCCATCTCGCCACAAACCATCACCACCGAATGCAATCCCTCATCTTCCGCCCTGCTTAAACAGACCGAGGATACTTACTCGCGCCGCGGCCACCGACAAGCACTGTATGCACAACCACGACATCAATACGTGCTGAAGATCCGGCACCGTAAACACAAACCCGACTTTTGGGAAAGAGGCGCAGACCAAGCCTGCCGAGCTGCTTTTGCAACGCAGATCACACAGGCGTGAAAGTTTTACCGTGCATATCTATCCACCCGCCCCGATTTCTCAAACCCAAGATATAAGATACAGTATTCCCATCTCGGATCCCTTCTACGAACGAAAGTCAAGAGAATATACGCATCTAGCGAACGCAACAGAGAACACAAGAGGAACGTACACATGGAGCGCCGCCTACCCGCAGACTCCGATCCCATAATGCCCACCCAACTCCCCTTCTTCTCCAACTTCCTCGCCGCCTTCCGCGCACACTCCGCGATTCAAACTTCTAAAGCCGCATCGAGCTCCTCCTCAGCATCCCCTTCGTCCTCTCAAGCAACCTCTTCCTACACTACCGCATCCTCGCCTTCGCAACCCCGCCAAATATCCTCCTCGACATCAACAAGTACGTCAAAACCCGGCGCCACCACAGCCCTCACATCCCTTCACTCCCCCCGCACGCACTCCACATCTCCGCTCTCTCACTCCCCGGGCTCCCCGGCCGCAGAAAAAGAGGCGGTACAGCAGGGACGGTACATGGCGAGCAGAAACCGGCGGGGCAGCGATAGTTCGAGCGAGGGGTTCCGAGATGTACTGGGCGCGGAGAAGTGGTATATCGGTGGCCGGACGGCGGGAGGTGAGGAGCGCTACTTCAAGCTGGGTGTTGTGAGAAGGAAGGGGAGCAGGGACCGCTTGAGCCTGGATAGGCTGAGTTTGTGATGAGGACGACGAACGGAGAAGAAGTGATTGGTAAAGAGAGCTAGCTGAGCGTTAGATGGTATGAAACGAACGAGCTACGAAACAAGATTTACGAGGATGGCCAGGCATGGGCTATAGATGGAGACTGGGACGTGGCCCGATAGCAGGTACACATTTGCGATAGACATGTCTTCAGCGGTAGACGAGACTTGTATACGACTGGACTCTGATGACCCAGTCACTATACAAGCATCGCGGCTGGGGCTTGGCGTTTGGGCAATGGGAAATGGACAGGACTCGAGACTGAGGCTTTAGGATAGAGATTTGAGATTTAAGACCTTGCCATCAGATATTGCGTACCTATATATATATATAACAATAAAGACACGCAGAGAGAAGACACCTCATTCCAACCTTCACGGATCTGTCTGCCAGCTAAGCTTATATAATATAAAATGCTCGCAGGTCTGTACATTACTCGCCTTTTCTTTTCTTTTCTTTTCTCCTCTTTTCTTTTTTCTCACCGCCGTTGTTTCTCCACTATCTTTTCACCTTAAAAATATGTTTTTGAATAGAATATGGCTCTTGGCTTGCGTTACAGGTGAATTCATATTTAACTATATTGTACTGTATTCTGCACCTTGTGTTTCCTTGTAAATTATTTTGTTATTTATCACGCGCTATACGGGCAGGCAAGATGATGAGAGCATCTTTTCCGAGATAACAGCGAAGCTACATACAATGCCGATACTAATACCTGGTTCTAATGAAAATGAAGACTCTAGCGATAACCATTACGCAGAAATCCTTGTAACTGTTAGATACAAGATTCCAAGCTTCCTAACCTTTTTAGAAAATTCGAAAGCACGAAAGGGCAATTCGCGCTGTTATTGAGAGACTAGACTTATTGTCAAGTGCGTAGCTGTTGCCAGATGGGAGGGAGACTTTCCGCGCGCGGTGGCTAGGGGTTGGAGTACCTTGGGTATATATCTATACATATATATTCCTAAGCTTACCCTCGATTTTTCTTCTCGACTACTGTGTTCCCAGAAGTGCGTTTCTCAAGCGCTGTTAATGAGAATGCAGAACTACTGCCCGTCCATCACACGGAGCGCAGACAGAAATGTTCCAGACAGCGTTGAGAACTCGATTGAGATGGTAGGTGAGTAAAGAAGCTTGCTTGCTGGGTATCGCTAATTGGATCTTCCTCTCCCATTTACTCTGTAATGCGTTTCAATCCAGGAAGAAAGGAAAGAGGTAAAGGAGTAGGCAGATATCCTCGATCTAGAAACCTCGTGGGTAGCTGGAGCTTTAGAGTGCATGTAACCTTGACTTCGTTGGAAAAGAAGATCGGTTAAGATTAATCGAATTAAAAGAGCTCCAGAAAAGTACGGCTAAACGACCCTGGGACGCAGAAATCGTCTTGGGAGTTTTCCGGCTGGTGATTTGATATTGCGTATATTCAGGCTTATGCGTTATCTCTCTCTCTCTCTCTCTCTCTCTCTCTCTCTCTCTCTC